GTTGTTCATAAAAGATGGAACAAGACTATACACATAGGCGACAAGTATAAAGATTTTGATGTGCAGAGCAAAATAAAGTTGTTGGCTTCAACTGTCATCGACGACAAGTTACCGAAAGACGTCTCATTTGATTGCCGATGTATTTGAATGTTTTGATGAGAAAATCAAGACCGCCAACATCTGAATGCAACTGAACAAGAATTGGAATCTTTGAGTTTGAAGAAACTTTTTGAGAACATAGAAAATCCAGTTGAAAATACGCTCGTAAGACTGAAGTCGCTACAAAGAAGAAAGGAAAAGATTGGTTAGTGTTTTCAACACTACTTGGTAATAGCCGATAATTTTGGCATCATCCGATCAACAGCAAGAGGATTTTCCGATATTTGTGAGAAAATTCGGTTGTTAAGATACCACGAACAGAGGAGAAACTAAGTCAAGTGAGTACAAATGTAAGTAACTACACTGACGTTAAATAACTATTTGCTTCTTGATTCTATTGTTCTTGTGAAAATCTCAATGGTTTTTATTGATGATGCTGATTTTTAGTTACTTTCTTCAATGTCACATTAGTCATTACTGAATATATGCAATGAATATAAGTACACTGAATTTGTCTTTGTGAAAGGTGATAAGCTCCTAAGGAGCCAATCACAATAAAAAATTATAGTCATGACGTCAATTAAAGAAATGTTAGCTAACATATATAAATTCGTGTGTTTTCACTTCAACGGAAAATTAGTCACTTTTAACGTTATAGAAAGGAAGGTAAATCTGTCTTTTTACTAACGATATAAAGAAGTATGAGTTGCGTGGAATAATCAACTAGTCTTAGTGCAGGCCTCGAAATATGAAAGCTTTCACTGCAATTTTCGTTGACCACGAGTTAAGCCTGAGATCGTTCGAAAGTTCTTGTTGCATCGTTCAAACTCAACTGACTGTAGCTTTTCGTGCAATTTAGGTGACTGTTCTACCATTTGGATCGTCAAACAGAAAACATATTGCAATTTTCTCATTCTCAATATATCTGATTAAGAATTAAAATCGCAAACTAACGTCATATTCATCATAAAATCTTGTACATGTGTTTCATATTTTCTTATATCGTAGATCCCACATGGATGGAGTTGTGAAAGTGCCCTTACCACCTGTGCCATTCACTTCAATTACTCTTACTAGTTTCTCGTTGCTTATGTGTCATGGTGATTCATGGCCAAGAATGTTTATCTGTAGTTTGGATTCTCTGTTGATGTCAGTTGTTTGTGCATATAATGATGATGGGCCCCATTGTTATATGCGCCCACCTAAGGTGGTCAGCTGATACTCATAGAAGATCAACTCTGCGCTAAGCATTCTTTAAGTGATGATATAACTGGGGTATTGAAGTGGTCTATTTTCCTTCGCTTGAAGTTACCATAAGAGTTCGTTGTAAATTGTAATCTGTCGAAATGGCGATTCATGATTTCACTAGCTACTTTGGTGGTTAACGATGTTGAGTACTTTGCTTATGGAATGGTATAAAGGTATCGAATGGACATCGATTTGTGGCATATGTACGTATGAACATAATATTGAAATGACTGGACTAAAAAAACGAGATATGCTCTACGAAGATGGAAAACAAGCGAATCGAAAAACACGATTCATATCTTGTGGTTTGTAAGTTGAGTAAATAAGTGTTGTGTTAGTATCTGCATGAGATAGTTAAAAAGGATCCTGATGGTCTATTTTTATAATTTGAGTCTTAATCATGAATAACACCCAAATTAAATAAAAACAGTCGGTTTTTCATGACAAAATTTGTCAATTTTTGTTTATCAACGAAAGATGTCACTTGCTGTGAGAAAATAGCTGGCTTTCATTCACTACTTTTTGATAATTACATTTAACGAAAATTGCAATGCTGCAAGTAGCTAGGGGTCATTGAATTTCGAAGATAAAAATGTTACCATGTATTTCTACGACATACACGCCAAAACTGCGGGGTGAAAAAAATAGGAAAAGACCGACTAAGTCGCCTGGATCAGACTGACCAGGACAACGCTTGGAAATCAGGTATAAAATTTTTTTGTTCTTTTCAATATATTTAATTTCTGTTCTTGATCATTCATTTTGCTGACATTTACAACGTGGTTTTTGTAGAGTGGCGTTTTCTGTAGGCCTACTAACTGGACAATTAATGAACGACCAAGTCGGACAGAAGCACCAAGAAACAAGCGTCCTTGTAGAAAGAATCACACTTTTCTTATGCAAAATGTCCATCAGTATAACGCATTTTCAAGTAAAACCGTTTAAAACTAAATTTTCACAATTGTTAAATTTTCTGACAAAACACGTGAGTGAAAGCCAGCTGTTAATGAAGGTCTTAACGAAGCAACATAGAAATTTTGAATGAAGTCTAGTAGACATCAAAAATGATTTTTATGCAAGTCATGACGTCACTTTGGTCATTTGTTTTTTTCATTGCGATTGACAGGTGAATGGTCAGGTCGTACGTACTGAATAATTATTTCATATAATTTTATGGGATGCTTTTAATTTTCATTTTTCGTCTATTTATTAAAATCTTTGTTAACATTCTGCGCTCTTTCATGTTTTGCTCTATACGAAAGTTTGCGTTTTTTTTGTTGAACACAAAATATTTGCTGTGTCAATAGGGTAGTCAGTCCGCTTTTTGTCCCTCTGTAAATTTAAATTTTTTATACGCCTATATAGGACGCACGATCTGACTACGCTGCAGCATGTTAAAATAGATCATCGGGATCTTTGAAAACAACAAAAATAGGAAACATCTTAAAACTACAAAAATTTAAGGAAATTTTTTTAAATTTTTGACCTTTTCTACTATTGGAGGGTTTTTTCCCGGATCCACCGGTTTTCCCTCCCATTTCGTTTTGTTTTGGAAAAAACAGTGTCCACATTTGGGGCCAAGCAAAGCCATTTGATCACAACATTATTTATTTTAGCTATCAGGTATATTCACGTTTCCTTTTTAATTTCTTGGCCTTTGGGTACATCTCCCAAAACACTGCGTTTATTAAATACAATGGCATACATTTAAAAAAACTTATGGTCCTTTATGAAAATATCACAGTTATGCACGCAGTCATAACTATAATCACATTACCCGCAAATGTCCTCTACAAACCTTGAAATAACCATGATGATCCACATGGTATACGTGCCAAATCCACCATCCACGATAAAAGTCAGTCGTCAAATTTTGACACACTTGCCCTGAAATAGTATTATCGACATAGTCACATAGCTCTAATCAAAAGAAGTATTCTTTCTGATGTGCCTAATTAGAGCGTTTCGAAGGTTTGCTTTTAAGGTTGGTTATTGAAAGAAAAAACTTGTCTATTTTCAGTATTTACTGAGAAACTGATTACCACACACAATCTCTGATGAATTTCGTATATATTCAAACAAAATTTTTAGCAGAGATTAATGTTTCGTATTTTTGAACAAAAAATTACACGAGATGTAAAACAGCCCAAAGTTTATTGAAATAAGCCTTGCCAACACAATGTTTAAAGTTAAAGGCACACACATGTACAAAATGTCTGACTTCGATCTATCGTTCATATCACGCCAATATACATTCACCACCACCAGACCTGTCTTGAAGTAAAATTAGTAGATCCAAAACAAATTGCAATCTATAGCTTGAACACGAAACTACTCAGCTATGCCTATAGCAATGTTTGGCTAGCACTTCCCCTTGCGATAGTAACTTACGGTCATAATTTTTAATTATAGCTTGGCGGAAGTTTCTAATGAAGGAAAGAATATGAAGTTACAAAAGTGACAAGTGATAATGTCATTATAGTTTCATACCATTGTATATTTAGCGTTTTCATTTATATAAAGAAACATTTTGAAAAAAAGAACTTGTTCCTTGAACAGAAAACCTTGCTATATTCTTCTTTATCGATAGATAAGCAAATTATTAGTATTACAAGTATCGTACCTTGTTTATATGTCATATTATGTCACATAGTGACACATACACACACACGGTAAATTATCGCTGCATTGTACTCTTCGAAATTAATTGTAAACGGTTAGCAACATGAGTCAGGTATGCGTCTACGAGCTCTCACACAATGATAGAGGCTGGCTACGTCACTGTTATAATTAAATGAACTGTTGGAATTGTTTAACTGGATTGTAAAGAGAGCCAGGAAACTTTACTGAAGAACAAAGAGAATGAACCAACCAAAACATTTTCGCCGTTTTTTCCGGGAATCGAAAAGGCGATACAATCGTATGAATTCAGAAGATCTGATGCCAAAATCAGGAGGATAACAGATATTAAATAATAGCAATTATATAATTTCTAAACATAAATACTTACGTGTCTTATTTATACATGAAAAATTTCTCAATTCTGAATGGTTTAGAGCAGGGCAATTTTTAGTAAATACCAGTGTAGATTTGTATTAATAACTTGCCGGCTGAAATACATACGATGAAGTTCATCAACAGAATTAAGGAATTTCTTCATGTATATTACTGATAATCAATGGTTTCATCATAGTTTCTAATGCGATTTGCAAAAAACTTGCATAAAAAATTGAATGTGGTAATTATTGACTGTGCGTGGGGCTGTATGTTTGTAAAGGTAAGAAATCATTGATTTAGTTTAAAACTGCCAACACTGAACCAAAATGCATCTTTTTTTTTCTTTTGTTATAGGTAGCGAACTTATCTTACTTTGAAAAAATGTGAGCGATTCTAATTCAAACAAGTTTGCACAGGAGCGTAAGACTTTAATTACGCTATGTCGTTCACGTTCATCTACATATGACCATATAAAGTAAAAAATTTTTAGGATAATTGTTTTTGAAAATACTTCTAAATATAGCAAATACCATTGTTAATGGTAAAAGATTAAAACCGTCAGTTCAATTATTAAGACTATACATGCAATAAGAAAGACACCTTTTCAATATGAACATAATAACAACATAATACTTTTAAAAAAGCCATCACAATAATAAAATAGAGAAGGATTTATTAATTACGTTTCGTCTTTAACTTAAGACATCTTCAGATTAATGAGTTAATATATATACACGAGGTTATTAACTCATTAATCTGAAGATGTCTTATGTTAAAGACGAAACGTAATTAATAAATCCTTCTCTATTATTTGATAACTAAAAGTATATATTATGTTCATATTGAAAATTCGCTTTCCGCCTGACAAATCTCTGGCCACGATTTTAAAAAGACACCTTTATTTTTTCAAAGGATTTATGCATAAAGAAGTTTTAGTGAACGGTACAGTGTAGTTGGTGCAAGCAATGAAACCCAAACAAGAAGAAAACGCGGTGTATACGTTACAAGATAATTATTTTGCGTGGGTTGGCAGTTCTTATGAAGCTATGTAAAAGGCAACTCTTAACTTTTACCTATTTACATGTCTGCAGTCTTTTTATACTGCCTCTTGTATTCTTACATATAAAAGTCAGTATCATACATTGGTGTTATGTTTTTTCCCTATGAACCTGAACATAACTTAGAAATTTACTTTATGATGCTATTGCAAATTATTTCACTATTCTTTCGTTAGGGTCGTAATGCATTTCGCTCTTTATTTAGTATATTCAGTTCAAGAAAGGTCATTATGTCTTGCACAGCACCGTAACTTCCAGAAATTTGTTTGCTAGAAGAAATCCCATTGTTTATAAACATTCAATAATGATTTGAAGCTACGTGATGTTCACATTTTTGCGTGGTCATCAATAAATACCCTCATTTGTAATGCGTTATTACATTGTATAAAATGTAAATTATTGACTGTGTTTCGGTGGCTTTAAGTTAATTTATAAATATTGCTGTCACTAGTTTGTTTTGAATCGAACAGCGTCTATGTTCGTTAAAACTTTCTTTCAGAACTTGACGAATTTATTTCACTTGTGCAGAAAGGATTGGAAAAATTAGCTGTATTGTAGATCACCTAAAATTATTGACCGTACTACGTATGTGACTAAATGTTATTTTTATTGATGCGATCAACATAAAACTCGACCAAACTGCATCTTTTGTTTTTTATAGTTTGCATACTTCTCGGGTGTAAAACTGATCTGGACGATTTCTTTTAATCCAGGTGTGTAAGACTTTATCTACCCTGTTGAGTATGTGTGTACCTATGATATAATTTAAAGCTCCTTACATACGAACAAATTTTTGGTGACAAATACTCGCATGCCCGTGTGTACGGGCAATAAAATCTTTACGTCAAATTTTTATGTGGCGAATTTCCTTTGATCGTCTGTACTTATCAACGTATCACATTTGGTTGATTTGTCTTATTATATTTGTAGACCTTACATACGAACAAAAACAGTCATGTTAGCAAATTTTCTATTACAAATGCATTTGTTGTGCGTTAGCTACTTTTAAAGCCATGCTGTGATTTTGATTTGATTTCTTTACTTAAATATTTCATTTCAAACAGCGTTCAATCTTATCTTCTTTTATGAAGTTGATGCATTTATATAGCGGCTTGTATGTGTGGAAGATGCTTATTGAATATCTATATTTATTTTTCTGAGGTGTGAATTTAACTCTGAGGTTAAAAAATTTTTCTGCACGAGAAAAAATTCTTGAAGACAGAGACATGCTTTCATCTTATTGCATGCATCGTATTTCTAGAGACTTCCTTTTTGTGTGGAAGAAGCACGAATTCAAGATGTTGTCGCGCTTTATAAAAAAATCTTTAATGTAAAAGTATTTGTATATTCTGTGTCGAGGACCTTGATTTAATGGTTCGGCAAACATTGATTATTCAAGGCTACTTTCTACATTTTGTTGAATTGTAAAAAAAATTCCGCAATTTGAACGTGCTTGCTTGAAGTAAAAGGCCATCAAGTTTATTGTCTTTTGTCAAGATCAACAACTGTTCGACTATTTTAAGAATGTTGTGTACATTGCTTGCGCAAGATATAATTTTCTAGTGAATATTAATTATTGACTATTTGAGCAAGGGGAGAAGGCTGTATGTCCATAATGTTGCTGTCATTGATTGGTTTACACTAACTGCTCACACTGAACTTAACTGTTTGTGTTGTTTGTTAAAGATTGCAAACTTGTTGGTGGTTTGAAACTGACCGGAACAATTTCTGTTATTAAGTGCTATTATACAGGTGCGTAAGACTAGAGATTAAATAAGCCAAATTTGAAAAGTAAACCAAAGAGAATTTTGATTTTAAATGAGCCTAAGTGAGAAAAAAGAAGCCAAATTTGGCTCAAAATATTAAGGCAAATTGGCAACCTTGAGCAGCCATATTTTTATTTTTACATATTGCTTGTAATATGACATAAATATGATGTTTTTTTAGTGTAAGTAAATATCAAGGGTGTTACTGTTAATAATCAGAAGACAAAAGTATATTCGGTGTTTCTCTTTTCACTTTGTCTATCTTGCCATCTTGTCGAAAAGCTGTAGCTACCAGCAAAGTTAATACAGTAAAAAATAAATGGAAACATTAAATGCTGACTCGTTTGAGTACTAGGATGATGGCCAAGAGGTGAATTTATTGTGCTGTAAAATTTGCACAAAAAAAAGAGGATAGAATTACATGCGCAAAAAATTTCTCATAGATTTGTAACTGGATCAGCGGTTGTAAAGAAAAACACTGTCGTAAACATGATTAATTTAGCAATTAGAGCTGTATAATAATCAGCCTAATATCGATTTCATTATTTTTGTCAAAAAAAATTGCACATCGTTTTTTTTCAACTAATTCGCACACTGCTATACTTATCATTTGTTTGTCTACAAATTTTTCAACCACCTTATTCCTGATTCCTCTTTTTGTTCAATGATATCTTTGTGAATAGATATTCTACACAAAGAGCTAAGCCGACCTTGACCCATTCTATTGCTCAAATAGCTTTTTACCCTTTTCAAGCAAAAACGACATCTCTACTGACTCACTTTCCACTGCCAAGACACCATTCAATTTTAACAAATTTACCACTTGATGTAAACTTGACTGGAGCTTAAATTTGTAGATGTATTTAAGCACCTCATTACTGCACTCTTTGTGAAAGTCCTTGTCGTTGTAAATGAAGGAAAGTTGACTCTCCAAAGTTTGGATGTCAAAAAGAGGACTATACTTATCTTTGAGAAGATTTAAATTCTCCTGTGGAACTATGCCCTTCCATGTAGTAAATAGTTTAGGATTTACAAGATCTAAAAACTCGAACTGGTTTATATCTTGAAATCTTTCACTTAATATGCCTTTAATGGAATCAATAATCTTAAAATAAAGCTGTTTGTAATTGTATGTACTATCTGCTCTGGTTGCTGGTGGGCTTACTTTTTCTAGTGCAGTTTGATAAAACTCGGTAAAAGCTTGATCTGTGCGAAGTGATGCGATAAACTGCTTGAAATTGTTAATCTTGCTTATACAATAATTAAAATGGGTTTCCCTATTTTGAAGAATGGAATACAAAATTGCGGACTTTTCTAAAATCCTGTAAAAAACACACACTAGAAAACAAAAGAGAAAGCTATCAAGATAATGCAGTAAGCCACTTATTTTACTTAATCACTCATCATCCCATTCAGCTGGTTGTTCAAGTACCCCCTCAAAAAGATCTAAAAGTTTTTCATAGTTTTTGTGCAATACAATCTAGAGCGATAATACCATCTTGTTTCACCAGGGTAGGAAACTCAAGGTTGTTATATGTGAGAAAAGCTTTTCTTTTTGGGGCATTGCTTGTAAATGTGAGAGTTATTTACAAAGGACAAACAGCAGTTGATACTGGAGGGGTCGCCGGGCAGTTTTTTATAAATTTGCTCAATAAAGTGAGTGAAATATTTTTTGAAGGTGATGCCTACCAAAGTCCAGTATATAATGCTGGTGTTGTTGCATCAGGAATTATGAAATATATCGGAACAATTATTGTCCATAGTATTTTGCAAGGTGGACCTGGTTTTCCGATATTCAATCCTTGTACAAATATTTTTCAATTGGTAATTTTGAACTGGCTATGAGAACTGCAAACACTGGAATATGTACTGCACACATAAAGAATTTCCTCGATCAGATGATACACTGCTATATACCCAGTACACATTGTTTTGCATGGTTTAAGCAAAAACTATAAAACCTCAGTCTTAACTGATAATCAATAGTATAGCAGGTCATTCATGGTAAACAAAGCAACTGTAAGAGATTACATAGGGTTGAGTAAATATCAGGATGCAGTGCTTAATCGGTTCTCAGTATTTAAAATAGCTGATACATTACTTTTGTTAACCTGTCAAGCTGCAAAAGCCCTCTTAAACAAGTTAAGGCGCATTGGGTTAAAAAAAGTAAAGTAAAATGTCAGGGCGCACCGCGCACTGCCACCTGATAAATCAAACCATTGAGCATCAATGCATATAAGTTTGACAAATAATTTCAATTGTCTTATTGACAAATAATTTCAATTGTATTATAATTTCAATTTTACTAAGTTGTTTTTATTTCAATGTACTTATTCGGAAATTTAAAAAGAGTTTGCATTGTCATCATCTCGGTCATCATCTCGTGCATTGAATTCAAATAAACCTAGAAGTCAAATTTTGATTGAGTTTAATTGCAACATGTCAGTTGCAGCGAGTGCATTGAATTCAAATAAAACTAGAAGTCGATGAAGTTTGATCAAAGTTTAACGCTTAAAACATCATTAAATATACCGAATACCTTTCAGTTTCATCAAAGTTATCAAGTTTTGCATCAAGTCGGTATTTTTAAGTTTTACTCTACTCCTTTTCAACAGTGATTGTGCCTTCTGACAATTGAAACCACGGTTATCTATTCTCGGCTAAAAAAAGTATTGGAATAAAAAGGACTTCAGCTGATGATAAAGTTTCATATATGCTCTGCGTTATTGAAATAGTTCATATACAAGAGTTTTTAGAGCTTCATAGCATGTGAACATTATATATTCTGTTGCAATATCAAACGACCAAAGTCCACTTTCTGAAAAACACAACATATTTTTCTAATCAACAAGAACATAGATGACAAGATGTAAGCTATATTCACTATCATGTTTTTTTAGGCTGTAACAAAAGACAGAACATTTTTTGTTGGCCAAAAAGTACTTGTAAATTTAAGGTATGTATTCTATAAATCCCTCATATCTATATATAGGTAGTCTATTGTGGATGACCGATGAACCAATAAATTAAAATCCGTCGAATTTAATTGATTCAAACGTCGCATTTTACATGCACATAATTCTCGCATTTGATTCGGCGCATGTAAAATGCGACGTTTGAACCGGGCCTAAAGCATAAAATGCATCAGTTGATTTGGAAGACATTAAATTTCATTGCCAAGAGCTACAGAGCCAAAGCAACAGTTAAATTTATAATTTTTCTTACAGATCTTGGTCAAGTAAAAGAACACGCAGTAAGGAGTTTATTAATTATGCTTTAAGTTGTACAATGATTAAAAAAAAATTCATCACCAAGAAGCATTATTTGCTTACACAATGAACACCTCTCTCAACGATAAATGTATCATACGAGAATCAAAGAAAACCGTGTTTTTGATTGTAGAAATTTGACAACCTACAGCGGACAGTGAATAGTTTATATACAAGAGTTTTTAGGGCTTCACAGCATGTGAACATTATATATTCTGTTGCAATATCAAACGACCAAAGTCCACTTTCTGAAAAACACAACATATTTTTATAATCAACAAGAACATAAATGACAAGATGTAAGCTATATTCACTATCATGTTTCTTTAGGCTGTAACAAAAGACAGAACATTTTTTGTTGTTGGCCAAAAAGTACTTGTGAGTTTAAGGTATGTATTCTATAAATCCCTCATATCTATATATAGGTAGTCTATTGTGGATGACCGATGAACCAATAAATTCACTAAAGCATAAAATGCATCAGTTGATTTGGAAGACATTAAATTTCATTGCCAAGAGCTACAGAGCCAAAGCAACAGTTAAATTTATAATTTTTCTTACAGATCTTGGTCAAGTAAAAGAACACGCAGTAAGGAGTTTATTAATTATGCTTTAAGTTGTACAATGATTAAAAAAAAATTCATCACCAAGAAGCATTATTTGCTTACACAATGAACACCTCTCTCAACGATAAATGTATCATACGAGAATCAAAGAAAACCGTGTTTTTGATTGTAGAAATTTGACAACCTACAGCGGACAGTGATTAACGCGACAATTCTAATACAAGAAAGTTGAAATTGTGAAAAACGATTGAAATAACAGCTGAATTAACTTTGGTGTTAGAGAAAGGTATTTACTTCCGTCTTCAATAGTTGTAAGGTTTATTATTTATTTTTTATTCATAAATGGTGAAGATATTGAATGAACGGATGATGGCTCTATGATAGTTCAGTTTAACTTTAATTTGGGTGACATCGTGACAGGACAAAAACAAGGAGAAATATGACGCTTAGAAAAAAAAGAAAGATATACTTAAGTATGTTTAACATTGGGTGTTTAGAGAGGGTTCAAACTTAGGTATGAGAAGGCTTTTGTGGATCATTTACTCGTAAGTGTCAGAGAAAGAAAGAATATTGAGAAATCGTGAAAATCAGTGAAAGAAGATGTGGTGTTTATGGGAAAATATACAGGAAAGTGATGGACAAAAGGAGGGTTTTCGTGTAGATTCTCTGATACTCTGGGATTTTCCAGGGCTGTAACATAGGTCATAAGATTAGGAAGGGGTGAGGACGTCGCTTGCATGAATAAAGTGCCCTGTATGTAATTTGCACGACAAAAAGGCGTGGTATAATTTTGTATATTATCAATGAGATTACTAAGTTCAAAAATTCGTTTCGATTTTCCAGTCATGTTTGCGAGATTACACAATTCACTCATAACTTATATTATATGAGATTTAATTCAAGTTGTTCAGACATTATTATACGAGAATTATTTAATTGTTGGGGATCAAAATTTGTTCAAAAAACAGCGAATAATTACAAGCTTGGATACGACTTGCTTTATCGGAAAGATGCCCTCAAATAATTCTATCGAACTCCAATAATACTAAAAGTCAAAGTTTAATGGAGTTTAATTGCAACATGTCAGTTGCAGTGAGTGGATATTTTAAATTTCAACACGAATCCCTTTGTTATCAGTCACTAACTGATGAAACCACATGTGGAACATCTTTAATTTCCTTATATTTGAATGCACAATGCATCTTCTCTAAACTAAATTACACTCATTTTCCCTCAACCACGGACTTGTACCGATGGATAAAATTTCATTTACGCTTTACCTTGTGAAAATAGTTAAGATGTGCCATAATTAGCAATGCACAAAAGGTCTTTAAATGATGTATTTTGTGCGCATTTTATATTCTGTTGCGATGCTCAACAACTTAAATCGATGCACACATTAAAATACAAATGGCTTTTTCTGCTTTATAAAAATCAGTTGCGGTAACAGTGTTCACCGTCGTGTTTGTGAGATATGTCTAATCCTGTTTTTGTCAGCCAAAGAGAACTCATACGTTTTAAAGGTGTTGTCTACAAATATATGCAATTCGTAGGCAATCAATTGTTGATGACAGTTGAACCGATAAATGCACAAATTCATTAAATATATCAAAAGTTTCGAATCAATTATATATTGAAATTAATGCTGAGAGCTTAACTTGAACTGCAACAAAGTGAACAGTTTAGTTAAACATTTTTTATTTGTTTTGGCCGAGTTAAAAGACCCATATAATAAAAATGTACGGATGAACTATGTTTTAAATTTTATATGACTGTCTCGTGGAATGACTAAACTGTGTTTCATTGTAGAAAACCTTTTATTGAAAAGGTAAAACACCGTAAAGAAGACGATAATTTCCTTCCGTCTTCAACAATTTTGAGATTTTTTAGAGACGAGCGGAATTATTGAACGCCTAAAAGCAGTTGCATTAACTGTTTGACCTGTCTGAATGATTTGTTGTGATCAATTTATTTTTGCAATTATATGAAGAACAGGCATGACAAGAGATCCGTCAAATCCTTTTGAAAATCGTAGAATGACTTCTTTTTTACCATTGGCGTAGCCAGGAAAAATAGTAACTCCCGCCCACCTCCACAAGGGGGTCTGGGGAGAAATTTTGAATTCCAGAGCCTTGGAAACAGCATTTCCTGCGATTTGGAGGGCAAATTATTTGTTGTACAATAAGTTGTAAAAACAATAAGTTTTTATTAGCTGCATTCTTAATGTAGCAATCGTCGAAACTGAAACTAGTTAAAAAAGTACTATAAAGGTGGCTCAGAGAAACGTTACGCAGGAGACAATTGTCCCCTAAAACATAATGAATCGAACTCATCAATGCCCCTGAATAGACAGAAGAAATTTGGATTAGCACAAAAAATAACATAGTATACGACACTTCCTAAAATGCATAGGTAGAGGTTGTTCTTAGCATTCCACTTTTTAGTTTACACTTATTTAGATTGGGGCAGGTAGACAGGGATGGCTTTATTCTTTAAAGTCAAGCTTCATTTTCTAATTGAAGTACCATGCAATATAAAATAAATATAAAAAATACTATACCACAGTGTGCGAATTAACGGTGTGCAATGTGCAATTTGCAAATCGTTTTGGCTGAAATGAAAACAAATTGCTTATCACTTTTTCAAACAATATGCAAAAAAAGTCGTTATTGATTATTACCACATAAATTGAAAAAGGTTTTTAAGTTTAATCTTTACTGATCTTTACTTTACAAACGAGTGGGCTGCATGACATTAAAATCTTAGGCCGTGTCGACACAATGTCATCAAATTAAAAGATGTTGTCACTTTGAGACTGGTAAGTCTGAAACACTCAACATACATGGTGCTTATATGCTTATGACACTAGTGGTGTAATACATTATTAATGTCAATTTTTGCATTTGCGTTGTTTTGTACACCGTTACGTACTGTTTTTGGCATCATAGCTATTTTAAGTATTTTCGATAAAATCAGGAAAAAGTTTCATTTTGACTCTTAAAAAAAGACAAAAAAAACTTAAATAAGCCAAATTTGAAAAATAAACCAAAGGGAATTTTGATTTTAAATGAGCCTAACGTGAGAAAAAAGAAGCCAAATTTGGCTCAAAATATTAAGGCAAATTGGCAACCTTGAGCAGCCATATTTTTTATTTTTACATATTGCTTGTAATATGACATAAATATGATGTTTTTTTAGTGTAAGTAAACATCAAGGATGTTACTGTTAATAATCAGAAGACAAAAGTATATTCAGTGTTTCTCTTTTCACTTTGTCTATCTTGCCATCTTGTCGAAAGGTTGTAGCTACCAGCAAAGTTAATACAGTAAAAAATAAATGGAAACATTAAATGCTGACTCGCTTGAGTACTAGGATGATGGCCAATAGGTGAATTTATTGTGCTGTAAAATTTTCACAAAAAAAAGAGGATAGAATTACATGCGCAAAAAATTTCTCATAGATTTGTAACTGGATCAGCGGTTGTAAAGAAAAACACTGTCGTAAACATGATTAATTTAGCAATTAGCGCTGTATAATAATCAGCCTAATATCGATTTCATTATTTTTGTCAAAAAAAATTGCACATCGTTTTTTTTCAACTAATTCGCACACTGCTATACTTATCATTTGTTTGTCTACAAATTTTTCAACCACCTTATTCCTGATTCCTCTTTTTGTTCAATGATATCTTTGTGAATAGATATTCTACACAAAGAGCTAAGCCGACCTTGACCCATTCTATTGCTCAAATAGCTTTTTACCCTTTTCAAGCAAGAAAACGACATCTCTACTGACTCACTTTCCACTGCCAAGACACCATTCAATTTTAACAAATTTACCACTTGATGTAAACTTGACTGGAGCTTAAATTTGTAGATGTATTTAAGCACCTCATTACTGCACTCTTTGTGAAAGTCCTTGTCGTTGTAAATGAAGGAAAGTTGACTCTCCAAAGTTTGGATGTCAAAAAGAGGACTATACTTATCTTTGAGAAGATTTAAATTCTCCTGTGGAACTATGCCCTTCCATGTAGTAAATAGTTTAGGATTTACAAGATCTAAAAACTCGAACTGGTTTATATCTTGAAATCTTTCACTTAATATGCCTTTAATGGAATCAATAATCTTAAAATAAAGCTGTTTGTAATTGTATGTACTATCTGCTCTGGTTGCTGGTGGGCTTACTTTTTCTAGTGCAGTTTGATAAAACTCGGTAAAAGCTTGATCTGTGCGAAGTGATACAATAAACTGCTTGAAATTGTCAATCTTGTTTATGCCATAATTAAAATGGGTTTCCCTATTTTGAAGAATGGAATACAAAATTGCGGACTTTTCTAAAATCCTGTAAAAAACACACACTAGAAAACAAAAGAGAAAGCTATCAAGATAATGCAGTAAGCCACTTATTTTACTTAATCACTCATCATCCCATTCAGCTGGTTGTTCAAGTACCCCCTCAAAAAGATCTAAAAGTTTTTCATAGTTTTTGTGCAATACATTGATTAGTCTAGAGCGATAATACCATCTTGTTTCACCAGGGCAGGAAACTCAAGGTTGTTATGTGAGAAAAGCTTTTCTTTTTGGGGCATTGCTTGTAAATGGGAGAGTTATTTACAAAGGACAAACAGCAGTTGATAATGGAGGGGTCGCCGGGCATTTTTTTATAAATTTGCTCAATAAAGTGAGGGAAATACTTTTTGAAGGTGATGCCTAACAAAGTCCAGTATATAATGATGATGTTGTTGCGTCAGGAATTATGAAATATATCGGAACAATTATTGTCCATAGTATTTTGCAAGGTGGACCTGGTTTTCCGATATTCAGTCCTTCGGTGTAGAGATATTTTTCCACTGGTAATTTTGAACAGGCTATGAGAACTGCAAACACTGGAATATGTACTGCACACATAAAGAATTTCATCTATCAGATGATACACTGTTATATACCCAGTACACATTGTTTTGCATGGTTTAAGCAAAAATTATACAACCTCAGCCTTAACTGATAATCAATAGTATAGCAGGTCATTCATGGTAAACAAAGCAACTGTAAGAGATTACATAGGGTTAATTAAATATCAGGATGCAGTGCTTAATCGGTTCTCAGTATTTAAAATAGCTGATACATTACTTTTGTTAACCTGTCAAGCTGCAAAAGCCCTCTTAAACAAGTTAAGGCGCATTGGGTTAAAAAAAGTAAAGTAAAATGTCAGGGCGCACCGCGCACTGCCACTTGATATATCAAACCATTGAGCATCAATGCATCTAAGTTTGACAAATAATTTCAATTGTATTATAATTTCAATTTTAATAAGTTGTTTTTATTTCAATGTACTTATTCGGAAATTTAAAAAGAGTTTGCAATGTTCCAAATGTATTCCCTAACAAACTTAATTTTTGCAAACTTAATTTTTGTTGCCAATTCTTACTGTATTAGTCAACATTGTTTGACGAATTGTTGAAATTTGTCTGGCATATCTACGTATATTATTACATGAATATTACCGAGCAATCTTACACATAGTTACTGTGTGCCTTGATATATACTTCAATTGCATGGACATGCATGATCATCAAGGGCGGATTATTTGGGGGTGGCAGGGAGAAGCGCACCTTCCTAAAAAATTCCCCAGCACCCTCCTAAGAAAAATTCTAAAATGGGATCACGTAATGTAGATGCTTAATATAACAGTATTAGAAGTTATGAAGTTTTACAGTAAGACTGAGTAAAGGTTGAACTTTTCATTTCAAACGCAATTATATATTTTATACCAACACCATTTTCAATCGAGTATTACCATGTGCGTTTTCATGAAAATATTAAAGTTGAAATAAATTACTAAATGCGCGCTCATTGACAAAGGTAATAACATTTTCGTTATGCAAGTGGTACACTCTTCTGTAAGCCTAAAAATCTGCATTACTCCAAAGCTCTAGCAACTTTAGCTACGATAACTATGCACACCCCTCTCGGAAAATCTGCACCCCTCCTTTCAAATAAGCATTGATCTGCCCCTGATGATCATCCTGTCGAACGTAACCTGTGTTTTCTCTTAAATGTCTCCATGACTTATACTATCTTTTTACTTCATAAGAAACCATTCATTTGGAAATGCATAGAGCATGTTTTGTTAAAAGTGGCATTATAGGCACTGCTATATTAGGAATAATTCTTAAAACATTGCGTTAATGGCATTCACAACATGCATGTACGTGTGAATTTTGTCAAATAAGTTGTTGTTTTTACTTGATAAAGCTGTAATATAGGCAGACTGATCTTCAGTTAAATTTAGTGTGGTTTCAGGTACAACCACACCAGCTACATTTTCAATTTCATCACGTGCTTCTATTTCATATGATTCAACTTCATCGCTTGATAGTACGTTGTTTAAATTTGAGTTGCTTTGTGTTGCACATCTTACAATGCTTTCTCACCAAAGATGCAAAGGTGATAGCCCTCAAGTAGTAACATCTCTATGAAGCCTTTCAAATCGTTGGTTGTGAACTGAAGCACCTGTGATGATACTTCCCCTGTTTGTTCCACGGCTTTCCAACAACATTCGAGCAACAGCCACGTTTTCAAGTCCATGATCACATCTCACTCTTGAAGGTAATCCATATGAACTAAAGGCGTTTTGGAATAACTCTAAAACTGGATTTGCTCTGTTGTTAGTAGCACAGCTTAAATATGGTATCAACCTTGAGTAGCCATCAATGGATGTATGAACCACCATTCGCCAGCGAATCATTTTATGGTTCCCGTCGATGTGCCACAGAGCATTTGCAGTACCTACATTTTAATTTCTTCTGCGAATTGCTCTCCGCCAACGAAGTGCTCTTCCAACTGGACCCAATTCACGCATTAATGTCCTCACACGTGACTGTTGCACCCTTATATCTCGGCTCCTCTGTGCACCTACCATACGTGTTTGTCCTATTTCTGGAGTAACACTCATAATCTCTTGCATTGTTTCGCTAAGTTCAATGTCACTTATGGTAGACCAAGATTCTTCTACATCAATTTGAAACTCTACACGTCTTCGTTGTAATGTTTTTGTTGAGATACCCAATAATTCAGCAATTCTAGTCCAAGAAAAGTGCAATTCCCTAAGAAATTCTACTAATCTCTTAGATATTTCGAGTCGCCGTTGACTTCTTGTGCCTGTGTACCTTCTATGGCAATTGTAGGTTGGAGTATAAGGTATCTGATTCTGAAGGTCGTTGATAAGGTTATGAAAGAAACTCTGAAGTCGACTTAAATAAAAGGATAACTGGTGCATATCATAAAAACTCGCCATATCAAAATCATTTATAAGATTTAATGCTCTCTGTTTTAACGTGAAAACAATGTCCCCAGTATCTGAAAGTCGCTCATGTATGCGCTCTAAACCGTCGATATTGTCAAAAAATAGGTGTTCTGAAATGATAAAATGCTCTGCTTCAGCAATAATTGCTTTAGTTCTGAAAGAATAAATAAAGACTGTGTTCCGAGCCTCCAATGCCTCCTAAACCCGCCATTTTGAATTTGAGAAAAAAGCGCGTAAACCATGGAAAATTGATAATTTAGTAGGCAAAGCATATTCATACACGCATCTTCCTCTTTATTGGTTTCTACTTAAATCAATAAGTGAGTACAGATTTTAACATATGAATATATGAATATGAGCCATTAAATTTTCTAAGTTCTGCCGCTCCTGTTGTTTGCTCATTGGAATTTTTTGTGCATTTTTCAAAGTGATAATTGTCACGAATGGCGAATTACGTGAGATCGCGTTGGCACGTGGGCTTTCCACGACGCCAGAGAAGCGTGGACTATGATTTATCAAGTGAAGTCAATCGTGATGCCCTGGCCAGACTGAAACCCATTGATGAGCAAGGCACGATAGAACTTGCAGGGTCCATTCCCATAGTGAGTGACGTTGACGAAAACGGGAGTAAGGTGCAAAAGAGTTTAGCTGATCAATTGAAACTGGCGGCAATTTATGACGACCAAAAAACGATCACTAATATTTTGAGAGAAAAAAGAAGTGACCGTGAAAGTTAGTATTTCGTTGATGAAATATTAATCTCTTTTCCTTCAACCAGCTCAATATTTAAATGTTCTTTTGTAGTTCAAACATTACTCTCGAAAACTGATGAAAGAGGACAACCATGTATATTTTACGCTTTGGAGTGGCGTAGTCTTAATTCTCTTACTTCCTTGTTAAATTACGCAAAAGACCCCAAGTGTGTGATAGCTAAGAACGGAGAGAGTGTACTTCATGTAGCCACCGGAATGGGTGACGTAGGTAAGGCTAGAAGCCATGCTGCGTATTCGGACTTAAGCTTTTCTGTTTGATAAGTTGTTGAAAGCAAAATTTTCTTGAAATATTTTTTGTGAAATTTGATTGATATTAACATACTATCAAGCTTGTTGTCACTGCTGTAATGGATGACTTTGCTTTAAAATGTAGGTCATAATTATGTATAGAATCCCTCTTGGCATTCTTACACTAGCCTCGTGCTAACTCCAATCCTTACTCTAACTAATCACGAAGTAATTTTACCCACTACCATGCAGTTGCCATTCACGTATTCATATAGTTGTTTGTCTCTACGTAGCAAGTTATCTGTGTTGAATTTTGTTGTAGGCCAAGGTATTTCATAGTTATACTCTTTGCCAAGGGATATTTTAAGGATCTTACACAGGGAAGGCACCAATCTCAAGACACCCCGTTAAGCGTGAGCCATGTGGCAGAGGGACCTGAAATACCCTTACCAAGTAAAATTTTAAAAACTGCATCGTTGTAAATGCTATTTTATGCATTTGAAAGCAATTTACTAACAACGTAAGAGACATGCTATGAAATAACCATTCTTTCTTCAACCGAGAAATGTATTATCCGCAATATAATATTTGAAATATTAATTACTAAAACACGCCAAAAGGGCCCAAGATGGAGAGGGGGGGAGGGGGTTTGATTCAGTGCGAGGCCAACATGAGCGCCTGAGATTTTCATTATCACCTTATCTCTTTGTGATGTAGATTTTCTTCATAACTTGTTGCAACATGACTTCATTGTTGATCTTGTAAACCATGTTGAAAGCGAGAATGGCCAATCGCCCCTTCATTTTGCCGCTACGTTCAACCATGTTGAGATCGCCAAGGTGTTGCTAGAACACGGTGGAAAGATAACAAAGGTTGATATCATAGGAAGATGTCCAGTGTACATCGCTGCTGCTAAAGGACATGCTAATATGCTTGAACTTTTCCTGAAACACGGTAAAACGATTTTTGCAAAATGATATGTGTATTTTGTTTAATGACTTTCGTCGTCGGCAGAAGGATTAAGGATTTTTCGTTTGTCCTCCTGAAATGTGAAAATGTTATTTGGTTGAACGAAAGGTACAGTCACCCCCTTCCTGCTGCCTATGTATTTATAAAACACTTCTATTTCAGAAAAAAGCAGAGTGCAAGAGTTATTGTTCAGGGAGAAGTATGGTGGCATGTTTAACAGCAATATACTTCAAATTGCTGTGGACAGTGGTGATGAACGCACTGTACAAGTTTGTCTGCAAGATGAAGATGTGATTCGTGAAGATTTGCGCGAAGAAATCAGACATGGAGATGGTTATTTGATTCATGCGGCTTGCGAAAATGGCATGAAGAAGAGTTTATTTCGATTTATGGAAGTCATGGGACATTTGGACTTCCTTCAGTTGGGAAGAAAGGATATTGAAGGATTCGCCCCGATTCATAAGTAGGTTTTACGTTTCATTCGCATCATCTGTACATTTAATCATTCAGGACTTTTGGACTTAAGCCTGACGTTATCACTTTGACAATTTATTTCATTCTAGAGCCGCAGTCAATGATCACAGTGATATTGTCTCTTACATTGGATCACAATCCAAGATTTTTCTCAATGAAAAGACGAAAAACTCCCAGACTGCCTTGGTCCTTGCCGCTGAACGCGGTCATGTTCGTGTCGTTGAAGAACTGCTTAAATTGAAAGCTGATTTTACCCTTCGTGATGACAGCAATAGAACGGTTCTTCACTATGCAATTGCATATCCTGAAACATTGAGAATTTTGCTGAAGGTATACAATTTGCACTTGGTTGCTATCGTTTTGTTCGGAGATAAAAGCGAAGCTTAAATTTTAATCATAATTAAACACAATGTAGAAAAAAGATCTCGTGCCGTTGCTTATTAACGAGAAAGAGATAGACGGTTATACTCCCATTCATAATGCCGCCTTAAAAGGATTACTTGAGGTAAGTGGGTTGCTTTGCTTTGAAATTAAGTCAAGACATACACAAGTACATTACAGGAGGCTCATTTCTTTATTTCAGAGTGTCCGTATTTTGTTAGAATATAACGCTGATCTGAATGTCTTCACGAACAATTTTCGTTCGCCATTACATTGCGCTGTTAGTTCACAGAACTCTGATGTGGTTGAATTAATCCTAGCCAATGAACCAGCTTTGATCAACAAGGTCGATGCCGACAGGGAAACACCGCTTCATACAGCAGCGAAGTACAGTAGCCCAGAGGTCGTCAAATGTCTTCTGAATAACGGAGCAATTACAATGAAGTAATTTTCAATCTTGCCTTCGACGAAGTTTACATAGGAAAAGATAACTGTAAAATGTCTTAACTTAATTGATAGGAAAGATAGATTTGAGTAATATATTTATTGTGTACTTAAGGGATGGAGAATTGTTTAGTCCACTTCACATCGCAGCGTCCAAAGGACATCTTACTATTGTTGAATTGTTGGTGATGTTCAAACCTTCCATGATCAATTGGAAAAATAAATACAAACGAACAGCATTGCTTACAGCAGCTGAGAAAGGCAAAGCAGATGTTGTGAAGTATTTGCTAGATAACATGGCGGCAATTACAGAAGATTATGAGCTCTTTAACTGCTTGGATTGGGCCATCATAAATGGCGATACAAAAAGCGCTATGGTGATGATGTGTCATGATAAATGGAAAGAGGTATGTTTCATTATAATGTATTTGATTTTATTGCAAGTGTAGCAATTCGGTAGAGGGCATAGCATTCGGTTTGACTGTAAGTATATGTTCAACATGTTTTTTATTCTTGTGAATCTTCGGTGTACTGGTGTTGTTGTGTTTTGACAAACTGTCGTTTACGAACAACACCGAACTTGTGTTCAGATTATTTCCACGACAAAAAATGGTCCAGAAGGAACGATGGCGAAGTTGATTTCTAACAATATGTCCGAAGTGGCGTATCGAGCTCTTTCTAACAGCATGAAAACCACAGGACACCCAGGGAGTACTGACTATTTGGTTGAATACGACTTTTTGTGTTTACAAACTGCAGGTGTGGTGAGCAAGCTATCTTATATAGAAAATAAAGATCGACTTTTGAATCTTAACATAATCAAAAGAAAAATCTCAAAAAACGTTAAAAAGTTGAGAATGCTACAATTCTCATAGTACCTATTACGCTTAATGGCCCAAGTGGGGTGTGCAATGTTTTCTACACAAAGAAAATGTTATTGCTCTGTATTTTTTTAATTTATACAATTAAAAAATATAAACAAACAATTATGATCACCATGATCGCCACCACAACAACCACCACCACCATCACCATCACCACCACCACAACAACCACAATCACAACAACCACTATCACCACAACAACCACCACAACCATAACCACCAAAACCACTATCACCACAACAACCACCACAACCATCACCACCACAACAACCACCACCACCACCACCATTACTATCACCACCACCACAACAACCACCATCATCACCACCACCACCAGTCTATACATCATCGCTTCCATATATTGATGAAGTATTGTATTGTCTGCAAAAAGTCGCCAAGGTTGGATGAAAGAAACAGTCACGTGATTGGGTTATTTATGTTATATTTGAATAAGATATTTTGTATAGACATAGCCACTGACTACGCTTTTTAGAACCATGTTTTCATTTTACTGTTTTCATCGTGTACATCCTCTGTCTCCTTTTCCACAAGGCTTTCCTTATAGTTATCCTTTTTTCGCAGTTACAAACAAGGGAGGTAAAAAACTCAAGCCATTGACCGCCATCAAAGCGATGTTGCGAAATGACAGTTACCAATGCCTATGTCATCCTGTCTGCCTTAGATACCTTAAAAACAAATGGATGGAATTTGGATGGAAAGTGCACATAGCAAATTTTATGTATTATTTCTTGTTTTTGGTTTCTCTTAACGTCTACGCGTTTGGAATTCCTTCATATAAGGCGTCTGTTGACAAAGATGGTAATGTGAAGATTAATCAAAATACATAACAACGGTAACTCCAAGTAACGTAAACATTTTGATTCAACGTTTCCACTTTATTTAGTCATCATCAGAAATGATTATGTTACATGTGAATGCATTATATGTAGACTCTATGTGATTTGATGTAGTTGACAGAAGACAGATAGTTCTCTCTTGCCCCGACACAAGACTGCACGAACATACTACTACAGACAACAAATCAAAAATCTATATACTGCGCACGCATTTAATATAATCATTCCTGATGATGACTAAATAGAGTAGAAATGTTGAATCAAAATGTTAACGATATTTGGAGTTACAGTTGTTATGTATTTTAATTAAAATACTCAGTGGTTCCCGAAAAAATTTTTGAGGAGATTAATTATTTCACGATTTTCTTGAATTTGTTTAGTTTTATATTTTCGTTATTGAAACTGTTTGTATTTAGAATTACCAAATGCATCGATAAATGTTAAGGTAACGATGCTTATCTGTCTCATATCTGCTGGCGCTCAAACATTGAAAGAAATCGGTCAGGTTAGCATTTTCAGTTTGTGGTCGTAAATGTTCCCTCGTATAAACCATGTATATTATAAATGCCACTTTATGTTTGTGCTCGTTGCAAAGCTGTTATAAAATATTAGGGACTGCCAACAAAAAATGAGACTTATTCATGACAACAGAATGACACGTAGAATGAAAACGTATGTATTTTGCCTTGGAACATCGGCTTTCTAAGTGAAAGTGTGATTGCAGCTGCAGAACAACAATAGCATGACGTCAACAATATGGCTGCTTTTTGTTAAAGTTTACTTATCTTTTTAGTTTTATTTTAATTTAGTGATGAACGTTACAGTTTTAATTGGCAGTATTAGTATTTTGTTTCATTTTATCTTCAACAGCAATCTTTCATTTCTATAACATTTCTGTACGAAATGACGAGCTACAAACCTATAACAATAATTTTTTGTGTATAGGGCTGAATTTTTTGTCCTTTCCCCTGTATAAGAATGGCCAAATCGTTAAAAAGGAATTTACAGAATATGTCTACGCTTAATTTGATCTTTTGATATTGACATAATCTATTTAATTATGTAGCTATTCGTTTATAAATTCAATTATCTTATGGACAAAGTCAACTATTTGGAATGTGTTCTCTACGTATCAACATTCATCTTTGCTGTACCAAGTAACGACAGTATGTCTGTAAAGACAAGTTTTCAATGGAAAGCCTGTTCTGTAGCGTTATTCTGTGCTTGGATAAATCTTATTACGCATCTGAAAAAGTTTGCCTCCTACGGTATACTTATTCTCATGATGAGGAAAACTTCTTTCACACTAATCAAGGTTCGTCTGCTGAATTTATGACTTCTCCCTCTACCCTAATGTTTAATGATATCAACAATTCTGATTTAGGTCATGGGTCTTTTAATATTTTTCTTGGTCGCTTTTGCTGCCGCTTTTACAGTAATAATGAATGATAGACAGGGATTTGAGACGTTTGGCGTGTCTATCTTAACTGGAGCAACGATGACGATGGGAGAGTTTGATTTTAAAGAGACATTTCTCGGTGACCACTCTGATTACAACACATTTTATCCATTACAGTTGGTCCTCCTTGTTGGTTTTCTTGTCGTTATGCCTATCATTATTATGAACCTTCTGCTTGCCCTTGCCATTGATGGTACCAACAATAAGGTTATGCAACACGCTAAGCAGCAGAAACACATTCAAACGGTAAGGATATTAATGAAGCTATCAAATTAGATCCTAAAGATAACGTATGTCAATTTAGTTAGTGATGAATGAACGTCAGACAACAAGAACAGTCTTTACAGTATCTAAAATATAAATTAAGATAACGTGTGTCGGTGTAGGTAGTGATGAATGAGCAATGGAGAACGAGAACAGTCTTTGCACTATCTAGAATATAAGCTATGATAACGTGTGTCATTGTAGGTAGTAATGAATGAAAACAGATAACGGGGACTATTTTTACACTACTTAAACTAAGATAACGGTGTATGTGGTGATGAATGAATGAGGTCAATAAAAGTAATCGTTATGACATTTATAACATTTTTCTTTTAATTGATTTAGGCGGAAATGATAATTGACATGGAACGGAAGTGGTTTTTAATTTCATGGCGAAGTGGAAAAACACTCATGCCTTGTTTACAGGAGAGACCAAATAAGACATCCAACTTTACCCTCGCATTTTGGGATTTTATGTTTTACGGTCCGGATGTTTTTACAGATGTACTCGATGAGAACCGGGAAGAAATGGGAAAGAAGCAAGACATGTCAACGTTGATTGAAATGGTGAAAGAACTGCAAAATAAAATGTTAGAGATTCAAAACGAGTTTACAATGGAAAGGAATCGTAGATCAATCGAGTATGTCCGAATGAGTCAAGATAAAGAAAGCGCTACGGCTCAATTTCGAGGTAACATTTCTTATTTGTAAAAATTTTACTGAATTTTCCACAAACACACTTCAAAGCCATGTAAAGACTGTTCTTGTTCTCTGTTGTTCATTCATCACTACCTACACTGACACACGTTATCTTAGTTTTTATTTTAGTTAATTCAAAGACTGATCTCTGTCTCTGTTGTTCATTCATTACTACATACACTGACACACGTTATTTTAGTTTAGTTAATGTAAAGACAGTTCTTGTTCTCTTTTGTTCATACATCCCTACCTACTTTGACCTACGTTCTATAGTTTGTATTTTAGGGAATTTAAAGACTGTTCTTGTTCTTTGTTGTTTATACATACATTGTAAGTAGTGGAGAAGCTGTTGCCCTTACGTACTTTTGTATTTTCTTAACTAGGTTACAGTGAAAGCATAGAAACCTTTAATCCAGAGGAGACAAGAGCAACATGAGTCAGGTATGCGTCTACGAGCTCTCACCCAAAGATAGAGGCTGGCTACGTCACTGTTATAATTAAATGAACTGCTGCAATTGTTTAACTAGATTGTAAAGAGAGGCAGGAGTCTTTGCAGAAGAACAAAGAGAATGAACCAACAAAAAGATTCTCGCCGTTTTTTTCAGGAATCGAAGAGGCGATAGAGTCGTATGAATTCAGAAGATCTGATGCCAAAATCAGGAGGATAACAGATATGAAATTATAGCAATTCGTAATTTCTAAACATAAGTACTCACGTGTATTTTTTATACATGAAAAATTTCTCAATTCTGAATGGTGTAGAGCAGGGCAATTTTTAGTAAATACCAGTGTAAATTTGTATTAATAACTTGCCTGCTGAAATACATACGCTGAAGTTAAAAATCAACAGAATTAAGAAATATTTTCATATATATTATTAATAATCAATAGTTTCCTCATAGTTTCTCGTGCGATTTTGCATAAACTTGCCAAAAAAATTGAATGTGGTAATTATTGACTGTGCATGAGGCTGTATGTTAGTAAAGGTAAGAAATCATTGATTTAGTTTAAAACTGCCAACACTGAACCAAAATGCATCTTTTTTCTTTTGTTATAGGTAGCGAACTTATCTTAATTTGAAAAAATGTGCACGATTCTAATTCAAACGGGAGCGTAAGACTTATATTACGCTTTGTCGTTCATGTGCATTTACATATGATGATATAAAGTAAAGAATGTTAACAAAATCTATGTAGACGGTAAACAATTGTATCAGTTCGGAAATTGAGTTCAATAATTTTACTAATTGTGTTTTATGACTGCACTATCTAAATCCCGATCTACGATATTACAATATGTTTTATTCAAGGTGCTCATGCTGTATTTGACTGCTGATGGAATCTTATGTGTTTGCTTTCTTGCTAATGTAAAAGTCCAAAATTGTAGCAATATTTAACGTTTATAACTAGTAAGAAATAAAATGCATATGAAACTAAGCAATCAAAGTTTTAGGAAAAGTATATTTTCCACCAAAAAAACCTTTTTAAAAGAATTTAATGTAATAAATTTGAAGGCAAGAGAAGAAAACCTTCCTGATATACATATCCCCCCCCCCCAGCAAGTTTCTCTCGAAGATCACGCGTGACGTACACGTTAATTTTAGACTTGAGACATTTTGAAATTCCCTCCTAATTCCTAAATATGCCATGAGAGGTTTTCTTCTACAGATGCCGTCAGTCTTTTCAATTTTTTCGATTGGGACTGAGCTACAATGTATTGCTCGGTATAGTACAATCAAGATACATACGAAGAACGAGGAGTGTAATTTATCGAACAGAGAAGCGACGACACTTTGCAATAGGGCCTGCAATAGCGGCAAATTAGAGTTTTTACAGAATGCCTGTGTGCAAAATATCTATTCATTTATTTATTTAACGAGACTGGATGTAATCTTATTTTGTCATCAATGGTTATGAAAATGTAGACGCATCGGCGAATGCTTTTAAAAGTCGACAAAAAAGGCATACAAGACGGCAAAAAATGCCTGAAGACAAGTGTTTTGGAAAGAAGGTAGGTGAAATAGTCCTGCTTCGTATGTCAATAAAATAACGTCAATGCCATTTTTTTTGGGAGGGGGGGTCTCAATTTCATGGTTTTGTCGTGGTTTGATAATGTGGATTCAAGCCTGTCAAAGTTCAACCAGTACACCTGAGATTGATAATCTCCCGACAAACGAACCTCGTCTTTGTTTAATGTAAAAGCTGCAATTATGTTCTTATGAACAGCTTTTCGTGTAAAGCCCGAAATCTTAATGCCGATTTTCTCTCTCCTTGTTACTCATTTACAAGATCCCGTCCACTGCGGAATACTCCATTCCCACGAAAGTTGATAGGCTACTTACATCTCCTTGCGTTTGCTAGTGAACTCCACAAAACCGTCAATTCAAGTATTAAGACTAAGTTAAAAAGGAAGTTAAACTAAGTAAAAGGAAGTTTTATTTAAAAGGAAGTTTTTACTAATTTACATGTCTGCAGTCTATTTATACTGCCTCTTATTTTTGTATAAATATTGCTGTCACTAGTTTGTTTTGAATCAAACAGCGTCTATGTTCGTTAAAACTTTCTTTCAGAACTTGACGAATTTATTTTACTTGTGCAGAAAGCATTGGAAAAATTAGCTGTATTATTGATCACCTAAAATTATTGACTGTACTACGTACGTGGCTGAGTGTTTATAAAGGTACTTTTTATTGATGCGATCAACATAAAACTCGACCAAACTGCATCTTTTATTTCTTATAGTTTGCAAACATCTCGTGGTGTAAAACTGATCTGGACAAGTTCTCTTAATCCAGGTGTGTAAGACTTTATCTACCCTGTTGAGTATGTGTGTACCTATGATATAATTTAAAGCTCCTTACATACGAACAAATTTTCTGTGACAAATACTCGCATGCCCGTTTGTACAGGCAATAAAATCTTTGCGACAAATTTTTATGTGACGAATTTTCTTTGATCGTCTGTACGTATCAACGTATCGCATTTGGTTAATTTGTCATATTATCTTTGTAGACCTTACAGACGAACAAAATCAGTCATGTTCTCAAATTTTCTATGACAAATGCATTTGTTTTGTTTAGAAGCTGACATGCTAGCTTTTGAACAAATGCATTTGTCAAAAAAAACTTTTTAAAAATTCTCATACAGACGGGCAAATGACATTTCCAATTGTGAGTGACGTTGACGAAAACGGGAGTAAGGTGGAAAATAGTTTAGCTGATCAAATGAAACTGGCGGCAATTTATGACGACCAAAGAATGATCAATAATATTTTGAGAGAGAAAAGAAGTGACCGTGAAAGTTACTATTCGTTGATGAAATATTAATCTCTTTTCCTTCAACCAGCTCGATATTTAAATGTTCTTTTGTAGTTCAAAGATTACTCTCGAAAACTGATGAAAGAGGACAACCATGTATATTTTACGCTTTGGAGTCGCGTAGTCTTAATTCTCTTACTTCCTTGTTAAATCACGAAAAAGACACCGAGTGTGTGGTAGCTAAGAACGGAGAGAGTGTACTTCATGTAGCCACGAGAATGGGTGACGTAGGTAAGGCTGGAAACCATGCTGCATATTCGGACTTAGGCTTTTCTGTCTGATAAGTTGTTAAAAGAAAAATTTTCTTGAAATGGTTTTTGTGAAATTTGATTGATATTAACATTTTATCAAGCTTGTTGTCGCTGCTGTAATGGATTACTTTGCTTTAAGATGTAGGTCAACTATGAGCAATTATGTATAGAATCCCTCTTGGTATTCTTACACTAGCCTTGTGCTAACTCCAATCCCAACTCTAACTAACCACGAACTAAATTTGCCCATTGCCATGCAGTTGTCATTCACGTATTCATATAGTTGTTTGTCTATGCGTAGCAAGTTATCTGTGGTAAATTTTGTTGTAGGCCAAGGTATTTTATAGTTATACTCTTTGCCAAGGGATATTTTAAGGATTTTACACAGGGAAGGCACCAACCACAAGGCACTCCGTAAAGCGTGAGCCATGCATGTGGCAGACGGACCTGAAATACCCTTCCCAAGTAATATTTTAAAAACTGCATCTTTGTAAATGCTATTTTATGCCTTTGAAAGCAATTTACTAACAGCGTAAGAGACGTGCTATGAAATAAGTAGTCTTTCTAAAACCGAGCAATGTATTATCCGCAATATAATATTTGAAAAACACGCCAAAAGGGCTTAAGATGGAGAGGGGGTTGATTCAGTGCGAGGCCAACATGAGTGCCTGAGATTTTCATTATTGCCTTATCTCTTTGTGATGTAGATTTTCTTCGTAACTTGTTGCAACACGACTATATTGTTGATCTTGTAAACCATGTTGAAAGCGTGAATAGACGATCGCCACTTCATTTTGCCGCAACGTTCAACCATGTTAAGATCGCCAAGGTGTTGCTAGAACACGGTGGAAAGATAACAGAGGTTGATATCACAGACAAATGTCCATTGTACATCGCTGCTAATAAAGGACATGCTAATATGCTTGAACTTTTCCTGAAACACGGTAAAACGATTTTTGCAACATGATATGTGTATTTTGTTTAATGACTTTCGTCGTCGGCAGAAGGATTAAGGATTTTTTGTTTGTCCTCCTGAAAAGTGAAAATGTTATTTGTTTAAACGAAAGGTACAGTCGCCCCCTTCCTGCTGCCTATGTATTTATAAAACATCTCTATTTCAGAAAAAAGCAGAGTGCAAGAGTTATTGTTCAGCGAGGAGTATGGTGGCAAGTATTACCGCAATATACTTCATGTTGCTGTGGACAGTGGGGATGAACGTACTGTACAAGTTTGTCTGCAAGATGAAAATGTGATTCGTGAAGATTTGTGCGAAGAAATCAGAAATGGAGATGGTTATTTGATTCATGCGGCTTGCAAAAAGGGCATGGAGAAGAGTTTATTACGATTTATGGAACTCATGAGACATTTGGACTTACCTCAGTTGAACAGAAAGGATAAACAAGGATTCACTCCGATTCATAAGTAAGTTTTACGTTTCATTCGTATCATCTGTACATTTAATCATTCAGGACTTTTGGACTTAAGCCTGACGTTATCTCTTTGACAATTTATTTCATTCTAGAGCCGCAATCAATAATCACAGTGGTATTGTCTCGTACATTGGATCAAAATCCAAGATTTTTGTCAATGAAAAGACGAAAAACTCCCAGTCTGCGTTGGTCCTTGCCGCTCAACGCGGTCATGTTCGTGTCGTTGAAGAACTGCTTAAATTGAAAGCTGATTTTACCATTCGTGATGACAGCAATAGAACGGTTCTTCACTATGCAATTGCATATCCTGAAACATTGAGAATTTTGCTTAAGGTATACTATTTTCACTTGGTTGCTATCGTTTTGTTTGGAGATGAAAAGCGAAGCTTTAAATTTTAATCATAATCAAACACGTTGTAGAAAAAGGATCTCGTGCCGTTGCTTATTAACGAGAAAGAGATAGACTCCCATTCATAATGCTCCCATTCATAATGCCGCCTTAAAAGGATTTCTTGAGGTGAATGGGTTGCTTTGCTTTGAAATTAAGTCAAGACATACACAAGTACATTACAGGAGGCTCATTTCTTTATTTCAGAGTGTCCGTATTTTGTTAGAATATAACGCTGATCTGAATGTCTTCACGAACACTTCTCGTTCGCCATTACATTGCGCTGTTAGTTCACAGAACTCTGATGTAGTTGAATTAGTCCTAGCCAATGAACCAGCTTTGATCAACAAGGTTGATGCCACTGGGAAAACACCGCTTCATACAGCAGCAAAGTACAGTAGCCCAGAGGTCGTCAAATGTCTTCTGAATAACGGAGCAATTATACTTAGGTAATTTTCAATCTTGCCTTCGACGAAGTTTACAGAGAAAAAGATAACTGTAAAAGTCTTAACTTAATTGATAGAGAAGATAGATTTGAGTAAAATATTTATTGTGTACTTAAGGGATGGAAATATGTTTAGTCCACTTCACATTGCTGCGTTCAAAGGACATCTTAATATTGTTGAACTGTTGGTGATGTTCAAACCTTCCATGATCGATTGGGAAAATAAATACAAACGAACAGCATTGCTTACAGCAGCTGTGAAAGGCAAAGCAGATGTTGTGAAGTATTTGCTAGATAGCATGGCGAAAATTACAAATGATTATGAGTTTTTTAACTGCTTGGATTGGGCCATCATAAATGACAATACAAAAAGCGCTATGGTGATGATGTATCATGATAGATGGAAAGAGGTATGTTTCATTATAATGTATTTGATTTTTATAATTTCGTTTGAGCACAATGGTTATAAGACATTTAAAGTAGACAACAAATTTCATTATAGCATTTTATAACACCTTATTCAACTGTAAATAATTATTCATAACTATTGATATTTCCACTTTATCACTATCACATATTATCATGTAAACTTCCTATATTTATTCACTTCTCACTGAAGATGACATAAAGTATGCCGAAACCTGTTTGCTATAAAGAAATTTGCCTATTTTAAGTGTATTTGATTTTATTGTCAGTATAGCAATTTGGTGGAAGGCATAGCATTCGGTTTGACAGTAAGTTTGACAGTAAATGTTCAACATGTTTCTTATTCTTGTGCATCTTCGGTGTACTGGTGTTGTTGTGTTTTGACAAACTGTCGTTTACGTGTTCAGATTATTTTGACGACAAAAAATGGTTCAGAAGGAACGATGGCGAAGTTGATTTCTAAGAATATGTCCGAAGTGGCGTATCGAGCTCTTTCTAACAGCATGAAAACCACTGGACACCCAGAAAGTATTGACCATTTGGTTTCATACGACTTTTTTGTGTTTACAAAATACAGGTGTGGTGCTATCTTATATAGAAAATAAAGATCTGCTTGTGAATCTTAACATAATCCAAAGAAAGTTCTCAAAAAACGTTAAAAAATTGAGAATGCTACAACTCTCATAGTAGCTACTACGCTCAATGGCTCCGCCAAGTGGTTGGGGCAGGGTGCAATATTTTCTACACAAAGAAAATGTTATTGCTTTGTATTTTCTTCATTTATACAATTAAAAAATATAAACAAACAATTATAATCACCATCATCACCACCACAACATCCACCACCACCACCATTAACACAACCACCATCACCACTACCACAGAAACCACCACCACCATCATCATCATCACTACCACCACAACAACCTCCATCACCACCACCATAAAAACCACCATCACAACAACAACCACCACAACCACCACAACACCACCATCACCACAATAACCACCATCACCACCAACATCAGTCTACGAATCATTGGTTCCATGTATTTATGAAGTAATATATTGTCTGCAAAAAGTCGCCAAGGTTGGATAAAAGAAACAGTCACGTGGTTGGGTTATATATATCTTATCATATTTGAATAAGACATTTTGTATAGACATAGCCACTGACTACGCTTTTTAGAACCATGTTTTCATTTTACTGTTTTCATCGTGTACATCCTCTGTCTCCTTTTCCACAAGGCTTTCCTTATAGTTATTCTTTTTTCGCAGTTGTAAACAAGGGAGGTAAAAACCTCAAGCCATTGACCGCCATCAAAGCGATGCTACGTCATAATAGCTACAAATGCCTATGTCATCCTGTCTGCTGTAAATACCTTAAAGCAAAATGGATGGAATTTGGATGTAAAGTGTACACATCAAGTGTTATGTTTTATTTCTTGTTTTTGGTTTCTCTTAACGTCTACGCGTTTGGAATTCCTTCATATAAGGCGTCTGTTGGCAAAGATGGTAATGTGAAGATTAATCAAAATACATAACAAGGGTAACTCCAAGTAACGTAAACATTTTGATTCAACGTTTCCACTATATTTAGTCATCATCAGAAATGATTATGTTACATGTGTATGCATTATATGTAGACTCTATGTGATTTGATATAGTTGACAGAAGACAGATCTCTCTTGCCTCGACACAAGATTACACGAATATGCTACTACAGACAACAAATCAAAAATCTATAAACACATCAACAGCTGCGAACAATTTACCCATCTCACTGATTTTTTACAACTTAACATGGACGAACCAAATACAGAACAATTTCACCTAACTCTCTTCCAGCTGAACAACTGTCACATCATAGACAGGGCAAGGATTGGTCACACCTTTCATTCAAAGAAACACTCCCCATCCGTAGGCAAAAACCGGAACTTAATTATGAAACTAAAGCATATGCACTAAAGCTTCGAGTGAACTATCTGTCTTCTGTTAACTTGGTCAAATTACATAAAGTCTATTATATATGCTAAGCACGCATTTAATATAATCATTCCTGATGATGACTAAATAGAGTAGAATGTTGAATCAAAATGCTTACGATATTTGGAGTTATCGTTGTTATGTATTTCAATTAAAATACTCAGTGGTTCCCGGAAACATTTTCGAGGAGATTAATTATCTCACGATTTTCTTGAATTTGTTTAGTTTTATGTTTTCGTTATTGAAACTATTTGTGTTTAGAATTACCAAATGCGTCGATAAATGTTAAGGTTGCGATGATTATCTGTCTCATATCTGCTGGCGTTCAAACATTGAAAGAAATCTGTCAGGTTAGCATTTTCAGTTTGTGGTCTTAAAAGTTCCCTCGTATAAACCATGTAAATTATAAATGCCACTTTATGTTTGTGCTCATTGCAAAGCTGTTATAAAATATTAGGGACTGCCAACAACAAATGAGACTTATTCATGACAGCAGAATGATACGTAGAATGAAAACGTATGTATTTTGTCTTGGAACATCGGCTTTCTCAGTGAAAGTGTGATTGCAGTTGCAGAACAACAATAGCATGACGTCAACAATATGGCTGCTATTGTTAAAGTTTATTTATCTTTTTGGTTTTATTTTAATTTAGTGATGAACGTTACAGTTTTAATTGGCAGCATTACTACTTTGTTTCATTTTCTCTTCAACAGCAATCCATCATTTCTATAAGAAATGACGAGCTACGAACCTATAACTTTAATTTTGTGTATAGGGCTAATTTTTTTTTCCTCTCCCTTGTATAAGAATGGCAAAATCGTAAAAATGAATGTACAGAATATGCCTACGCTTAATTTTATCTCTTGATATTGACATGCTCTATTTAATTATGTAGTTATTCGTTTACAAATTCAATTATTTTATGGACAAAGTCAACTATTTGGAATGTGTTCTCTACGTATCAACATTCATCTTTTCTGTACCAAGTAACGACAGTATGTCTGTAAAGACAAGTTTTCAATGGATGGCCTGTTCTGTAGCGTTATTCTGTGCTTGGATAAATCTTATTATGTATCTAAGAAGGTTTGCCTCCTACGGTATAATTATTCTCATGATGAAAAATTTCCTTCACACTAATCAAGGTTTGTCTGCTGAAGTTGACTTCTCCCTACCTAATGTTTAATGATATCAACAATTCTTGTTTAGGTCATGGGTCTTTTAATATTTTTCTTGGTCGCTTTTGCTGCCGCTTTTATTAATAATAATGAATGATAGACAGGGATTTGAGAGTTTAGCGTGTCTATCTTAACTGGAGCAACGATGACGATGGGAGAGTTTGATTTTAAGCAGACATTTCTCGGTGACCACTCTGATTACAACACATTTTATCTACTACAGTTGGTCCTCCTTGTTGGTTTTCTTGTCATTATGCCTATTATTATTATGAACCTTCTGCTTGCCCTTGCCATTGATGATACCAGTAGCATTATGCAACATGCTAAGCTGCAGAAACACATTCACATGGTAAGGATATTCATGAAGCTTTTAAATTAGATCCTAAAGATAACGTATGTCAATGAAGTTAGTGATGAATGAACGTCAGACAACAAGAACAGTCTTTACAGTATCTAAAATATAAACTAAGATAACGTGTCGGTGTAGGTAGTGTGATGAATGAGCAATGGAGAACGAGAACAGTCTTTGCTATCTAGAATATAAACTATGATAACGTGTGTCATTGTAGGTAGTGATGAATGAAACAGATAACGGGGACAATTTTTACACTACTTAAACTAAGATAACGATGTATGTGGTGATGAATGAATGAGGTGAATGAAAACAATCATTATTTTATAACATTTTCTTTTAATCGATTTGAGGCAAAATGATAATTGACATAGAACGGAAGAGGTCTTCATTTCCATGGCGAAGTAAAAACACTCATACCTTGTTTACAGGAGACTTAACAAGACATACAACTTTACCCGCTCCGTTTGGGATTTTATACTTTACGGTTCCGTTTTCTACCAAGGTAGTCGATGAGAGCCGGGACATGTCAACGTTGATTGAAATGGTGAAAGAACTGCAAAATAAAATGTTAGAGATTCAAAACGAGGTTTACAATGGGTCAAGATAAAAACATATGGCTCTATTTCGAGGTAACATTTCTTATTTGTAAAAATTTTACTAAATTTTTACAAACACACTTTCAAAAGCCATGTAAAGACTGTTCTCGTTCTCAGTTGTTCATTCATCACTACCTACACTGACACACGTTATCTTAGTTTTAATTTTAGGTTGTGTAAAGACTGATCTCTGACTCTGTTGTTCATTCATCACTACCTACACTGACACACTTTATTTTAGTTTATATTTTAGTTAATGTAAAGACAGTTCTCGTTCTCTTTTGTT